TCGCTGCCGCTGCCGCCACCGCTGATGCTACTGAACGTGTCACTAGTCGGTCGCCGCTGATGCTCTGCCCCCCCTCCTCCCCGCTGCTGCTGCTGCTGCTGCTGCTGCTGCTGCTGTTTCTCCTTGTTCTTCAGGGCCGCCGCTGCTGCCGCCGCCACCGCCGCCGAGTTCCTCGCCCGCTCGTCCTCTCTCTTGTTGCGGCCGCCCATGCCCAACACCCCCCCCCCTCGCCGAAGCACACCAAGAACACCACCACCACCACCACCACCACCACCACCACCGCCACCACCAGCACCACCACCACTAACAACAGCACTACCGGGAGGCACGGGTCTAACGAACGGGTGCGCGAGCATCTGCTCCACCGTCGGTCTTCTCTCAGGATCCGCCACCAGCACCGCCCTCAAGAAGTCCAGCAGGCTCGGCGAGAGCCCGGCCGACGCGGGGTGGCTCCTGACCATCTCGAACGCCACCTCCGCGTGCCCCGCCGCCTCGAACTTGTTCGCGCTGTGCGGCACCGGGTTCTCCCCCAGCGCCGCCGAGGCCACCGTAAGCCCGGCCGCCCACAGGTCCGAGCTCGGCCGGTAGGGCCGCGCGCACAGTCGCTCGGGGCTCATGAAGCGCACCGTCCCGTGCATCCGGCCCCCGCACTCATCCTCGCGGTCGTCGATGGTGCTCCCGAAGTCCACCAGACGCGCGCCCCCCGGCCCCAGCAAGACGTTAGCGGGCTTCACGTCCCTGTGGATGAAGCCACGCTCGTGCAGGTACCGGAGGGCCTCGAGCATGTCGCGGCAGACTCGCGGCAGCCACATCTCTGGGATCGGCGGGCGAGGCGGCGGCGGCGGCGGCGGCGGCGACTTCCCCGCCTCTGGAGGCTGTCCGGCAGGGTCTGCTAGGGCTCCTCCTCCTCCTCCTCCTCCTTCTCTTCGCCCCTCGCCCTCGCCGCTGCTGCCGCCCACCTCCTCTATCCATCGCGCTAGGTCCACCCCCGAAACGTACTCCATTACGATGCTCACGCGCGGCCGCCCCCCGTCGTCGTGCGAGACGAAGGAGCCGTAGTAGCGCGGCATGTACGGGCACGGCCCCGGTCGGACGACCGGCGCCGCGGCGGCCGCGGCGGCGACGCCCTTGCCGCCGCCCAACGACTTTTTCCCGCTTCTTCTTGCCGAGGTAGAGGCGGCGGCGGCGGCGGTGGCGGTTGTCGGGGTGTTCGTGCCGGAGGAGGCGGCGTCGCCGACGGGCGCCGCTGAGGCCCTGCTCCTTCGCCCCGACAGCCGTTTCGGTTTGGGCGGGACCAGGGGCTGCAGCTGCGGGTGGAGAACACTGAGCTCGTGGCGCAGGATGGTGCCCTGCTTCGAGTCGCACACGATCATCTCCTTGACGGCCACCACTCGGAGGGTCTCGATGTCTACCACCTTCCATACTGTGCTGGTCGAGCCTGCCACACAAAAGTTTGCAGAGAGAGGGGGGGGGGGGGGGTAACCATGATGTCATCAATGATGCCCTCCAAACATGAAAAACGGATTACTTTGGACCTACAATGAACCTCTACCCCCCCCTCGGAGGCCCAACAAGCAAAAACCCGCTGCCGCCGGCCCAAAAGGCGCCTTTGGGGGGGGGAAACCAAAACCTGTTTGTAGTAAAAATATTCTTCCCCACACACCACCCAGTGGGAG